TATTTTTCTTTTGTAATTTATCCGGTTTCAACTAGTTTAATTGGTTTAGAACTTTAGGTAACCTCTGATTTTTAGTAACCATATTTTTCTACCAATTTTTAGTAAAGTCCTAAACCAATTAAATTAGTTGAAACTGGAAAAATAACAAAAGAAAAATATGAAGAGACAAAAATTCCCTTACTAAAAATAGAAAAAAAATCATGAGAAGGATTAAAAGTGTCCAAAAACGATAGTCTGGGACTAAATTTAGAATTGCCACCAAAGACAATGGACCTCTGGTGGAATTAACTCTATTTGCTTATATAAAGTACCCAAAACGCAATTGTACGGCAAATTATTGGTCTACACAGTATTGTGTAGACCATAACAAAAGTACATTTTTAATATATTAAAATTACATTATTCGTGTACTGAATGTACATTATACAAAATAATGTATTTTCAATACTCAGATAATGTATTTCCCATTAATATAATGTACATTTTTAATATACTTAAACTACATTATTTGTGTACTGAATGTACATTATTTGATAGTGTGGTCCTGACAATAGTGATTGCAATTGTACACATAGAATTTATAATTGTCTTAAAACTTTAAATTTCCATGGTTGAAGTCCTTTTTTTTTTTTTTGGGGGGGGGGGGGGGGGGGGGGGGGTTATTACCTACAAAACAAAGTTTGTTGTTAATTCTTAAAATCCTACTCAATCAAGTAGTTACTAATATAATTTCACAATACATTTCTCCTTTTTTTGTTCTTAAGTCGCTCTCTAACTTCACAATTTAATGGTTAAAACACATAGCCTGACTTAATTTTCATTGCAATAATTTTTTTTAAAAAAATAATTCTAGTGTTATATGGAGATAAGAGAACTACATTTTTGGCCAAACTTTGGATTTACAACATTTAAGAGAAAAAGAGAATTATAAGGTAAGATTTGAAAGCACACTACTTCACTTATATATACAACATGGAGATGGAAATTACCAACTGAATACTCAATCCTAATTATACCAAGGACCAAAAAAACTATTACACTGTTCATATACTTTCTCAACCTACTGAAACACAAAGAACCAATAACGCCTCTATTTAGGCTCGAACTCGTAACCTTCCAAATGGAAGTCCAACCCGGATACCATTAGACCACATAGTCTTGGTAATTTACTAGCATACAACTAAATAATCTTTATGTTAGTTGAGACACATACATCTTGTAATTTACTTCATTAGTTGAGACACATACATCTTGTAACTTACTTCATTTACCTATATATATTTGAACTCTAAGAGACCCTTAATTTTGGTCTTCAAATTTATAGAGATGGAAATTAATTATGACAACAAAATTGAGGATATTACTATTTTAACCACCCCTCACTGTTACTGGTGAGACTCGATCTTTGATCATTCTTCCCAAACTTTACCCTTATGACCAACTGAGCTGCCCATACGAACGATATTACTATTTTATAATTTTAGGACAAAAAATTGCAATTTTTCCAAAATTGTGCTAGACACCCCTATATTTTTCACCAATTTTGTTTATAACTCATCTTGTGAATGCATTTTTCACCAATAAAAATACTCTTGACTATTCAATCAATTTAATTTAGTGAGTGGTTTTAATTTAGTACCACCAACTATGAATACTAGGGGCAAGAAAATGGCATAAACAATCATTGTCCTTTTTCAATAATAAGAGTTTTTTCCCATTTTGGTCCCTTGACTATCGCTCATTTTTAATTTTGCATTTTGACTTTTATTTGCACTCAATGTGGTCCCTTGACTTTAAAAAATTACCTCAATTTGATACTCCGTTACATTTTCCATTAAGCAGCTGTTAAGTTCGGGAATATTTTGATCCATTCACACCCTTCTAGGGAAATTACAACTACTCTTCACCGTCCGTCATTCCTTTTGTCTTCCGGTCACAAATTAACCCAAATCAAACAATTTTCTTGTTGTCTCTCTCTCTGAGTTATCTGCACAACAACTACAACAACATTGAGTTCCTCGTCTCATTTCCATATCTTTCACTCGATTTCGCCGTTTCCAGTTGCAAAACAGGTTGGGCGGCCGCCGCAGAGTGCCGAAATTTCTGGCGATTTTTCGATTTGTGAGGAGGTGAAGGGAGGAGAAGATGGGGGTAAATCTCCGGGGGTTTAATGACATGCAATCGTTCCACTCGATTTCGCCGTTTCCAATTGCGAAATAGGTTGATGGGCCGTCGCCGTCGCTGTAGAGTGCCGGAATTTTTGGGGTTTTTTCGGTTTGTGAGGAGGTGAAGGGAGGAGGAGATGGTGAGTAATCTCCGATTCTTGAAGGGATTGCGGCGGTGGCGGGGGAGCGTGTGCTTTTTTGGCGCATCCAGAATTTGAGGGACGAGGAGATCTACTTTGGGTCTAGTTAATATATAATCCTTCGCCCTTAAGCCCTGCAACTCAACTGTCTCTCTACCTCTCCACCGCCGATTATCCAGTCTCCACTCAGCTCCACTGGCGGCCGGCCTTAGTATTCTCCGTCTGGCGTCTGCTACTCTGTTGCATGGCTAATCTTCAACAGGAAGAGCATTCCGTTTCCCTTCGGCTTTTTTTTTTTTTTTATTTGAGTGTTTGCGTTTGGCAGCGAGAGTGTGTGTTTATGCATTTCTGTATGTGTGTGCCATCTGTTTGTATTCGAGGGATTGAATTTTGATTGGTATGTGGCTTGGTTGGATGATTATTGAGTTGCAGTGCTGAGTTTTTTAGCTGATTGTTGTTATTACTTTTGCTCTGGTTATTCCTTGCTCTCCTGCCTCCCCTGATTCAAGTTGTAAATCATGCCTTCTCTAACCTTAATGTGGTCTGGGTGTGTGAATATCTTTTCTTTTCAATGGAAATACTATTTGATGAACTTTTCATTTTTTGCTTATATCACTAAAAGAAAAGTGTTTGATTTGAATAGGTGGTGAGTATTTTTCTATCAAGAAATGGTTGGAGAGGCTTAACATTTGTGGAGGTGGTTTATCATATAAGTTGGGGATTTTTTTGGTTTGTATTTGGACTTCTGATTTTTGATTTGGAGTTTTTTTCTGAACATCAAACAATAGGAACACGATGGAGGGACGAACAACAGTTAGTTTAGCCGCGCAGTAGATGAATGAACCAAAATACCCCCAAACTTAACAGCTGGTTGATGGAAAATGTGATGGAGAACCAAATTGGGGTAATTTTTTTAAAGTCAAGGGACCACATTAGGTGCAATTAAAAGTCGGAATGCAAAATTGAGAATGAACGATAGTCAAAGGACCAAAATGGGAAAAAACTCCAATAATAATGTATAAAACGTGTGAACTCATATAGTCATATACCAATCATAGTCATGGGTTTTGAAGGAAAAAACACACTCGACCGTTGACCTTTTTTGGTAAGTCTGGGAGCGATCCACCTTTTACGTTCTTTCCTTCCGCATGCAGACTCCGGCGGATCCTCCGCCGGTGTCCGGCGCCCCGCCTAATGGCGACCCAGGGAGGACTTTCAAACGGTTTAGGGCGACGAAGAGATCCTTTGCCGATGCAGTAACGGCTATTCCGACATCAGTGATGATACGATGATGGAGGCTGACAATGATGATTGGCTTAGTGACGAGGTGTTGGCAGTCTTGAATGAAGAAGTTGTTCCTCCGGTGAACCCGTTGGGCCTCCCGGTGGTCACTTTCTCGAAGGAACTCCGCAAAGAGATCGTTCAGCCATGGAGAAACGCCCTAACGCTCAAGTTCCTTGGTAAGCATATTGCGTTCAATTTTCTCCTCAATCGCCTGTCCAGGATGTGGAATATTGAGGGGAAATTCCAACTGATTGATTTGGGATATAACTGGTATGTCGCCCAGTTTGATCGGGCTAGCGATTGCATGAACGTCCTAGTCGGCGACCCCTACAAGGTAGCCAACCACTATGTGGTGCCTCAACGGTGGACACCGAGGTTCAAACCAGCGAAGGCCACAGTGGAAAAGACGATGGTATGGGTAAGGTTGTCGGAACTCCCATTGGAATTGTTTTGTGAAGATTTAATCCGACAGATCTTGACTCAAGTGGGGAACTCTGGTGAAACTCAATAAAACCACCACTGGAACAGAAAATGGACGATTCGCTCGCGCTGCTGTGGAAATCGATCTCAATAAGCCACTCGTATCAGTGATCATCGTTGAAGACATGACTCAACAGGTGGAATTTGAAGGGTTGCACACCATTTGTTTCGAGTGTGGTGAAGTAAGGCGTAGGTCTAACGCCTGCCCAAAGAACATTCCGGTGACTGCAGTGCAGTCTGAACAACAAGTTGATGCCCCTATGGAGCAAACTGTACAGCAAACTCAGACTCCGGTCGCCATTGCTACGCAACCTCTGACTGAGATGCAGAGGTATGGCCAATGGATGATTGTCCAAGACAAACGTGCAAATCAGGGAAAGCAAGCCAAGAAAGCTCCTCCCAAGGCCACGCAAATGGACAAAGGAAAGTCATCAGCTAAGCCGACTAATATGGAGTAGAAGGGAAAAGGAAAGAGCCTGGATCAATCTTCCAACATGTTTTCAGCGTTGCAAGAGGTCTCAGAGCAACCCCTTACTAGCGACAAGGTCTCGTCGGCGCAATCGAACGACCAAGGAAACACCAAAACACCAGTTGTTGAGTCTGGTAAGGATACGGCCCCTTTAGGTCTAAATCAGTCTAAGTATATTTTTGCCATGCAGGGAGTAACACGTGTGGAAAAGGACTCTAGAAAACAGGACAAAGCCAGCTCGTCTGGAAGTAAAAAGGGACCTTCTAAGAGGAGTAATAAGGGTTCAAATAATGCAAACACTCATGGCGGAGGTTCCATCACTGCGACATCGAGGCTTGCTTCATCTAGCACTGGCACATTCATCTTTGGCCACCCCTCCCCTGGCATGGTCCAACCTATGGACTTGAATAGCGCTCCGGAGGAAAGCGGTAATCTTGATCCCTCCACTTCTGTTATTGCTCAATGATTTTTATCGCTTGGAATTGCAGGGGTGTGAGGGGTGGTAGTACTAGGCGGCATGCTAGGGATCTCCTGAAAACGCCGAATGTTGGCGCGCTTTGTTTCTTGGAAACAAAAACTAAGGGGGCTGATGGTTTACTAAAAATGGCTGATAAGCTTGGCTTTTTCTCTTCCTTTATGGCTGATCCTCTCAATTTTGCGGAAGGTTTACTCTTAGTTTGGAATAAAGACCGTGTTCCGCTCTTTGTGGTCGAGCACAACTCACATACCATCCATACTTTGATTCCGCGGCGGGATGGTAAAAACATTCGAATTTCCTTTGCTTATGTTAGACCCAATTGTAGGGCGAAAGAAATTTTTTGGCGGGGTTGCAGAGACTACTCTACTTCCTTTCAAGACCCATGGATCGTCCTCGGTGATTTTAATGACATCTCAGGGCAATCAGATAAATGGGGTACTGGGGAGATCGTTGTCAGTTCAGTTGATAAGTTTTTGGACGCGATGAATGACTGCGGCCTCATGGATCTTGGGACTTCTGGGTCCAGATTCTCATGGTACATGAAAGTGGGGGAGAGGGTCACGCTCAGAAGGAAGCTAAACTGGGTTCTTTGGAATATGGAGGCGCAGTTGTCCTTTCCTGAAGGAAAAGCCCACATCTTGCCTTGTACTCATTCGGACCATCATCCTGTTCAGTTTGATAGTGTCGCGGGTACTCCACCACCTAAGAAAGAGAGACCGTTCAGGTTTGAGGCGGTTTGGCTCTTGAGAGATGACTATCGAGGAATCTGGCATCAAGCCTGGAGCTCATTCTCAGATAATATCTCAAGCGTCATTGATCACGTGGTTAAGTTGTCTAAAGATAGGAATCACAAAACCTTTGGGAATATCTTTCACAGGAAAAAAAACACGCTACCAAGAATAGTGGGGATCCAGGCTTCGCCCAACTACAGTTCTGATAGGGGGTTGTTAAGGCTCGAAAAAGCTCTTCTTAATGATCTCAATAATACCTTGAAACAAGAGGAGGTTTTCTGGTACCAAAAATCTCGTAAAGACTGGATTCAAGATGGTGACAAAAATACTACCTTCTATCATTGGGCGACCTTGGTTAGAAGGAATCGTTCGAGGGTCACCATGCTAAAAATTAACGGTGAGTGGATTTTCGATCCCTAAATCATTAAAGACCATATCACTAACTATTTTAAATGCCTTTTTAACAGGAACCAAGACGCAACGAGGGAGACTCCTACCCTTAGGAGCGGGCGTAATATCAATAGCAGGCAGGCACAAAGTTTGATCCGCCATGCTACGGTGGGTGAAGTCCGCCACGCTGTCTTCGGCATGAAACGGTTTGGGAGCCCGGGCCCGGATGGGATCCAAGCAGCCTTCTACCGGCATTACTGGGATATCGTAGGTGACTCGGTAACGAATTTCGTTATCTCATGTCTCATTTCAGGTACCGTTCCAACTGGAATGTTGGAAGCTTACATGACTTTGATTCCCAATAAAAATTGTCCAGAAAATGCAGGGGATTTTAAGCCAATCACTCTGCTTAATGTGATCTTCAAGATTGTCTCCAAAGTCCTTGTCAACCGGCTCAGACCAGTCATGAAGAAAATGGTGGGCCCGTTCCAAAACAGCTTTCTCCCAGGAAAATCTACTCTTGATAATGTTGTTATGACTCAAGAGGTTGTTCACAATATGTCTAAAGGACAAGGGCTTCATGGTACTCAAATTGGATATCCACAAGGCCTACGATAGCCTGGGTTGGGGGTTCCTAGAGTCGGTCCTTTGCAAGTTTAACTTCCCTAATCGGCTGATTTCCCTGATCATGTTCTCTCTCAAAGAAAGCACTATATCTATTAATTGGAACGGAGGTAAGCTCCCCGCTTTTGGGGTGGGTAGGGGGGCCAGACAAGTTGACCCCTTGGCCCCATATTTGTTTATTCTTGCTATGGAAACCCTCTCTTGGGCAATTCAAGAGGAGGTCAGTTCTGGAAGTTGGAAACCCTACAAAGTAGCACGTGGGGGCTCGAACATCTCTCTCCTTTTCTTCGCAGACGACCTTATCCTCTTCGGTGAAGCTTCTGAATAGCAACTCAGAATTATTCTCTCGGTGGTTGACAAGTTTTCATGCCAATCAGGTTTGTCTATCAGCTTTAATAAATCTATTATTTTTTGTTCCCCCTAACACCTGTGATAGGGTCAAGCGACGCCTATGTGGGATTGCGGGGATCCCAGTGTCTGACAACATGGGAAAGTACTTGGGAATCCCTATTCTGCAGAAAAGAGTTACGAAAGATACCTTCAGGTATATTCTGGAAAAGATGAAGAAGAGACTCTCAGGTTGGAAGCGTGACTCTCTTAGCTTCACGAGAAGAAGAATCTTGACCTAATCGGCCTTGGCGACTATCCCTGTTTATACTATGCAAGCCCTAGCTCTACCGAAAGGTACATGCGATAGTATCGATAAGATTTGTAGACACTTCTTGTGGGGGGATACGCAGGAAAAAAGAAAGATACATTTGGTAAACTGAACGAAGTGTGCCAACCACGTGACTTGGGTGGGCTTGGTCTTCGGAAAGCAATCCACTCCAATGAAGCTCTTCTTGCTAAGCTCACCTGGCAGATGTGTGGTAAGTCCGATAAACCTTGGATACAAGTTATGAGAGACAAGTACGTCAAACACAGTGACTTCTTCTCCGCCACGGTACCTGGAAATGCTTCGTGGGCTTGGAAAAGCATAATCAAGGGAAGGGAAACGGTCATCTCCAATGCGGTATGGAAAGTTGGCGATGGTCACTCGATAAATCTTTGGAAAGATTGGTGGGTTAGAAGCGTGCCGCTCGGCCTGGATCAGAATATCGATATCCCGGAGGAGCTCGGTTCTTGCATGGTAAGTGATTTCATCTTCCAGAATAGAACCTGGGATCTTCCCAAGTTACAGGAGATTCTCCCAGAAAACATAATTGATAACATCCGTGCGATCCCGATTCCACTCGATGTCCGAAAGAGAGATTCCATTGGGTGGACAAATAGCGACACAGGTAAGTTCCTGACGAAATCTGCTTACGCTTGTTTTGCAGGTATTGACGAAGACAGCATGGACTGGTCTTGGCTCTGGAAGCTGAAGTGTTGGGAAAAAATCAAAGTCTTCCTCTGGCTCATTCTCAAAGGACGACTGTTGATTAACGGAGAACGTGCGAGGAGACACCCACTAGTACAGAATTTGGAATGGACGCCCACTTTCCGAGTCACCTACACAATGAAGGTGCCTCGGAAATGATATTATTAAAATAATAATAGGGAATCCGCGGCACCCACGCACTACTGGAAATTATGAAATTTCCTACCACCTGAAAGTGATCTTAAATCAAGTTAAAAGCCTTGTTCCGACGACTTTTGGTATCCGGAAAAACCTTTGTTGCTATTTACGACCACTTTTTGGTATCAACTTGATTTAAGATCACTTTCAGGTGGTCGGAAATTTCATAATTTTCACTAGTGACGGCAAACGGTTGCCGCAGATATTAAATTATTAAAATAGTAATATGGGTATCCACGGCACCTTTTATAGAAGGTGCCGCGGATATTTTATTATTATTTTAATTAAAATGTAATACGCGGCACCTTTTGGAAAAGGTATCGCGGATATTTTATTATTATTTTAATAGAATTGGAATCCGCGGCACCATTTAAAGAAGGTGCCGCGGTGTTTTTTTTTTTTTTTTTTCTTTTCTTGTCGCGCGACTACGTACATACCCAAATTTCTCAAATCCTCTAAATCCCTAAATTCGCCACATCGATCTGAAAATCGACGAACGCCAAATCCCGTGCTCCTTCTGCTCACGTCCGTCCTCCGTCCTCCGTCAGTCCGACCGCAAACAAGCAGAGTGGCTCCGTCAATCGTCCGCTGCCAACCGCGCTGCTCCTCGCCGCCAACAGCCATGCCATCCGTCAGCCACACCACCGACGCATCCACCATTGCCGGCGACTGAAGGTAATGTTGATTATTTTATTTTATATATATATATATATATATATATATATATATATATATATATATATATATATATATATTTATATTTATATTTATTTATTTATTTATTTATTTATTGAAATTATTTCAATAAATGTTATTAAGTAGAGCTTAAATTGGTTAAATAGATAGATTTTAAGCGGATTAGGAGAAGTTGGTTCCAGAATTCAGCAATAAGAGTAGTGCTTTCTTGTATTTTTTTTTTTCTTTACACTATGCTATATATTTTCTGTTTATATGCTTTTTTTTAGTCATCTGTTTATATGAAGAAAATAGCCACTTGAATAGTCATGTATGTGTGTTGTACTGTATATTGCACAGTATGCCGGGAGAGTGTTTACTATTTCAGTATTTCCTATGCAAAAAATGGTAATTTCATTGTATTTTTTCCTTCATTGTTGAAGGTTCAAATGTATGTCAAAAAGATGGTTGGAGTGGGTAACCCAACACGGGCAGGGAGAAAGAGATTTTAACATTTTTTGCGTCTTATAGTTGAGTCTCTCTTGTGCTTTACAGCTTATGATCACTACTCTCTATATATCTAATTATTAAAACACGATTTACCACATAAAAAACATGTTTTATGTATCGTTGTCACTTAAATTTTGTCGCGAGATATATTACATATATAATATATTTCTATATCTTAATGTTGATTAATTGGTGACTTTAGTTGGGTTTCAGTACAATGAAGTCTCTTTGTGTGCAGAGTAAAAGTTTGAAATTTAGTGGGAGCTGTTTGAACGACTTACAATTTATCTCCTTCAATGATTTTGTAAAATTTTGAAGATTTAAGATATAATTTGACATAAGTTGAGAATATGGTATACATATATATATATATATATATATATATATATATATATATTTGAGGGTAGGCATTGTATGTCATCTATGGACTCTTCGATGCAATTGTATGTCTTGTCTCGTCCCTTCACAACGTGTAGTCTTGAAATTCCTTACGCTTCATTTTGCCTTAGATATTAAGCACGTTCTCGCTTCATTTATGAACTTTTTTTCTCAGTGTTCACTAGCTGCTGGTCGTTTCACCTTTGGTCGTGATATGCAGGGAGATTTTAGTGAAATGCCTCCTGAATTTAAATGCTTGTTTGACAATGCTGAAAAACCTTTGTTCACTGGGTGTGCCAAATATACTAAGTTATCTGGTATGCTTAAATTATATAGTTTAAAAGCAAATAATGGATGGAGTGATAAGAGTTTCACGGGATTATTAGAACTAATAAAAGATATGCTTCCTAGTGATAATGAACTTCCAAATTCAACTTACGAAGCAAAGAAGTTGTTGTGTCCGATGGGTATGGACATTGAGAGGATACATGCATGTCCGAATGATTGCATATTGTATTGGAAAGAATACAAAGACTTGCATGTGTGTCCGAAGTGTGGGTCATCACGTTATAAAAGGAAAAATGTTGGTGATGTGTGTAAGGATAAGAAAGGTCCACCAGCGAAAGTGTTATGGTATTTACCCGTAATACCAAGATTTAAACGCATGTTTGCTAATCCAATTGATGTCAAAAATTTGCAATGGCATGCTATTGAAAGAAAAAACGATGGAAAACTAAGACATCCAGCCGATTAACCACAATGGAGGAATATTGATAGGAGGTGGCCTGAATTCGGTACTGAAAACAGGAATCTTAGACTTGGATTGTGTACTGATGGAATGAATCCTCATGGTAACATGAGTAGTCGACACAGTACTTGGCCTGTCCTTTTAGCAGTCTACAATCTTCCACCTTGGTTGTGTATGAAGAGAAAATACATCATGTTGTCCTTGTTAATATCAGGGCCTAAACAACCAGGAAATGACATAGATGTATATCTAGCGCCAGTTATTGAAGATTTAAAAATATTGTGGAATGATGGTGTGCCGGTGTATGATGCTTACAGTCAAAGTAGTTTTACCTTACGTGCAATGATCTTTTGCATCGTAAATGATTTTCCAGCTTATGGAAACCTATCAGGTTATACTAATAAAGGAGCAAAGGCATGTCCTATTTGTGAAGATGAAACAGCCAATCTATGGTTGAGTAATAGTAAAAAGAATGTGTTCATGAGTCATAGGACATTTCTCCCAATTGATCATCTTTATCGAAAGAAGAAAAAAGCTTTCAATGGAAAATCAGAGACTGGAGTAGCACGTTTGTCTTTATCTGGACATGCAGTCTATGAACGTGTTAAAAATGTTGATGTTTCTTTTGGCAAAATGTGTAAGACTACTCAGAAGACTCTATGAAGAAGAGGCCTATATTTTGGGATCTACCATATTGGAAGCATTTAGCAGTTAGACATTGTCTTGATGTGATGCATAATGAGAAAAATGTTTGTGACAGCATTATTGGAACACTGTTGAACATTCAGGGAAAGACAAAAGATGGTATTAAAGCTAGAAAGGATATGGTTGAAATGGGAATACGGGAGAAGTTAGCACCACAATAATCAGTAAAACGAACATACTTACCTCCAGCTTGTCATACTTTGTCCAAAAAAGAGAAAACAAGTTTTTGTGTTTGCTTAAATGCTGTCAAGGTTCCTTCCGGTTATTCATCGAATATTAAAAAACTTGTGTCAATGAAGGACCTTAAATTGGTTGGCATGAAGTCTCATGATTGTCATGTATTAATGCAGCACATGTTACCTATTGCTATTCGAGATGTTTTACCAAAACATGTTAGGCAAGCTATAACAAAACTTTGTTTCTTTTTCAATGCTATTTGCAGTAAAGTTGTTGATATAGATGTGTTAGATGCTTTGCAGGCTGAAGTGGCTGTTACTTTGTGTCAACTTGAAATGTATTTTCCCTCATCTTTTTTTTTTATATTATGGTGCACTTGATTGTTCACTTAGTGAGGAAAATTAAGATCAGTGGTCTGGTTTTTATGAGATATATGTATTCGTTTGAAAGATACATGGGAATATTGAAAGGATATGTGAGAAACAGATATCGACCTGAAGGAAGTATAATTGAAGGTTATAGTTCTGAAGAAGCAATTGAGTTTTGTACTGATTATTTAGCTAGTGTTGAGTCTATTGGTGTTCCCAAGCCTCTTCATGAAGGAAAACTCAGTGGGAAAGGTACTATTGGATACAGATCGTTTGTTCCACCTACAAACTTGCGAGATAAGGCACATCATCTCGTATTGCAACACCTTACTGAGGTTCATCCGTAATTGGACCAACACATGCCCATGATAAGACAACAAAATCCTTCGAAGGGTGAAAGATGGGTGGCTATTGAACACAATCGCACTTTCTTAAGATGGTTCAATGATACTGTGATGAAAGAGCTATCTCAAGTGCCAAATAATGTCAGTGAAACCATCAAATGGTTATCATTTGGACCTACATTACTTGTGAGTTGTTATGAAGGTTATGACATAAATGGATATACATTTTACACCAAACGACAAGATGAAAAGAGTGTGGTGCAAAATAGTGGGGTTACATTAGTAGCAATATCAAAAGATTATTCAAGTACTAAAGATACTAAACCAATTGATGCTGCTATATCTTACTATGGTGTGATTGAAGAAATTTGGGAACTTGATTACAATGTATTTAAAATTCCTCTATTCCGTTGTAATTCGGTTGATAATAGAAGAGGTGTTCGGATAGATGAATTGGGTTTTACTTTGGTTGATTTTGGTTGGTTGGGTTATCATGATGAACCATTTATATTTGCATCTCAAGCAAAACAAGTGTTTTATGTTTCTGATCCTGTTGATAACAAGTGGTCAGTTGTCTTACAAGGTAAGAGAAGTATTGTTGGTGTTGGAGATGTTGTTGATGAAGAAGAGTATGATCATTTTGATGAAACTCCTCCACTTTCAATTGGTATTCAGTCTTTATCTTCAAATGAAGATAACCTTGAAATTAGTTACATGCGTAGTGATCATGAAGAAGGATTGTGGGTTGACCAACGTGCATCATAATTTTTTGTTGTAAGATTCATAAGTTGTTGACAATAACTTTTGTTTGGTATTTTATTGGACTTGAAATGCAATATAATATATTTATTGATATTTATATATATTTTTTTTTGCATGTGTAGGTATATATAGACAACCATGAGTGATCAAACTAGAGATACTTCTAGTTCAGCCCTTAAAGAAAAACCTAAAAGAAGAGGTCCAAATGCATGTAAAAACTTCAATAAGAAAAAGGCAAAAGAAGAAGTATCAATTCAGTTTGATAAATATAATAGGCCGGTTGGATCATATAGCAAGAAGTTTGCATCTTATGTTGGGGCTGTGGTTCGTGGTAGATTAGATATCAACATCGAAAATTGGGACAAAGTAGAAGGAATGATCAAAGATTCAATTTGGACAGATGTTAAGGTATCTAATAACTTTATATTAATTGTTAGTTAGTGATATAAGTTTAATTATCAACCATTGTTATTGCTTATGCTTATGTTGTTGTTATTCATGCACAATTTTGCCTTGAAGATGATACAAAGAAGAAGCTTGTATTGAAAGTTGCATCCAAGAGATGGAGAGACTTCAAAAGTAGATTGAAGCGTGAATATATTATCAATAAGCACCCAAACTATGATTCTCCTGCACAACTCTATGACTTCATAACTTAGGAGAGTTGGGCGAAATTTGTTGCACATCGTGAGAGTAAGGCATTCAAGGTATGTTTATTTCATTTTATTATAAGTAGTTCAAGTGTTTTATGTTGGAAAAATAGCTTTAAATGGCATATTAAGTGGCTATTTTTTGGTACAATTATCAGTGGGGTCCACTTCCGATTTGGTTCGGGTCAAAGTGGATTCGGGTTCTTCTTAGTGAGACGAAGAGATTGATATATTGTATGCTCAAAACGGATAATGGGTGAATGAGATATTGATTCTCAAAGTAGACCCATTTGAGTTGGAAAATGAAGGGAAAAAGTGAGCTTTTGTCCCACATTGGTTTGGGAAGAGGATTTGCCCCACTATTTATACATGAGCTATTTTTAAGCTTATTGAATTGTATAGCATAGAGGATCTCTCTCGCGCGCAGGGGGGTGCCGATCAAATCTCAGAATGAGATCAAAAAGGCTTAGACCATGCTTAATCTCGTGTGCGCCCGTGGGCACGAAAATTGACAGGCCTTGCGGGCTAAGTTATGCCATTGTTCCACAGTTTCGTGGGCCACCACGAAATGAAACAATTGTTTCAAGTTTCGTGGGCCACCACGAAATGAAACAATTGTTTCATGTTTCGTGTGCCACAACGAAATGAAACAATTGTTTCAAGTTTCGTGGGCCACCACGAAATGAAACAATGGTTTCATGTTTCGTGTGCCACCTTGGCCACCACGAAATTTAAAACAATTGTTTCATGTATTGGCCAAAACTACTACTTAGGCCGAAAGTTCGGCCTGAAGCTCCTGTTTGTGACTGTTGGGATTTAATTCAGCTGTTGTGGGATTAATTCTTTGAATTAATTTCAATTTTAATTTTTAAATAAAGCCCATGTTAATGGTTGCTGTTACAGGAGTTGTAGGGATGCCCCTAAATGCCATAATAAAGGCTATTCACTCCTCATTCCCTATATAAGAAGGAGTTGAGCATTAGCTTTTTCGAACACACAAGAAAAATAATTTTCCAGCCTCAAAATACTTCTGCTTCTACTCCATTCTTGAAGCTGTGTTTTGCCCATGCTCTTGTTCGCCGGGTTCGTTCGTTTGGGTGCTCAAACGTCGAACCATTGTACGTTTTATCCTGGGAAACCTAGGCCACAACGTTCCTAGCACTTTTGGGAGGTGGCAAATAAGGTTTTAAGGAAAGAAAGGCACCTCGCCTAACTCATACTAATCTTTCTTCCTCTCTTTCTTTCTTGTTTTGGATTATGCTTTTAAGCAAAAATCCGTTCTTCCTCTTTTGATATATTCGTTGGATTGGACTTATAATCGGAGGATTATTAGCTCCAATTTTGGTTGATATATATTGGTATATCTTTTTCGTAGATATACATGTATATATAACCTTTGGGTCTGTTTTATATATATTTGTGTGTGTGTGTGTGTGTATATATATATATATATATATATATATATATATATATATATATATATATATATATATATATATATATATATATATATATATATATATATATCGGATAAATATCCAATAATATTTTATATACTTGTGTGTGTATATATATAAATATTATTTTTGGGATATTAAATCAATTTTGGTTCATTATCACCAACATTTTATTAATATTAACATATCATTGAAATTATAGGAGAAAAGTGAGAAGGCAAAACAAAGGCAAGCATGCAATGAGCATCCACACTTTCTAGGTTCTGCTGGATATGTTGGCAAACAAGCAGAGTGGAAGATGTCAGACCCGTTATCTTCACAATCTTCTTGTGCTTCTGTTAGCTCGTCATTATTGTTCGAAGATCGCAGTTTTGATTGGGTACGAGCAAGAGTTAAGAAGTCAAAAGAAGGAAGTTATTTCATTCTGAATGAGAAAACACAAGAGGTGTTTCATAAAATTGTAAGCACTATTTTTAAAAAATTGTTATAAGAATATATAGGGGGTGTTTGGTTATTGGCTGATCAGCCAATTTTTGGCTGATTTGACCATTTTCAACAGTTTGACTTAGTCAATCAGCTGAAATGAGTGTTTGGTTAATAGCTTTTTCTTTCAGCTGATTCATCCAATAAGCTGATTTGGGAAACGCTGGGTGAGACAGCGTTTTATGAATGGCTGGTTGTATATAATTTCTAAAAGACAGATTTACCCATTATTCTTCTTCTTTTCTCGCTTCTCCCCTCTCACTGTAAGCCATGGACAACCCTCAAGAAAGTCTTCATCCTCAAAGTTCAGAGCACACAACAAATACATGCACAAACTATATTTTTTATTCACAAATTAAAAGTAAAAAAAAGAAAAAAAAAAAAAACATTGAAAGAAACGAACCCAAATCTATCATCTTCATCCTTGTTGCCATGATTCTCGCCCCTTTTGTTCTTTCCCATTGCTTCTTGCCTTTGATTGTAGCTCATTTTTTTCTCCACTGCTTCGCTATTTCTTCGCATCTGGTTTGGCCATTTGGGGCAGAGGGTTAGGGATTTGATTTCATTTGAGCTGTGGGTTGGTTTGGCATTTAGGTTAAGAATGCAGGTCAGTGGGCTTGTCATTTTAATAATAATAATAATAATAATAATAATAATAATAATAATAATCCTTTATATAATAAAGCTATATGGTTTGGAAAATAATTAATGTTACAATTAATGCCACAACATTCTTTATTATACAAAAAAAAAAAAACACAACATTTAAAAAATAAAATAGCTATATATTATATAATCATATAAAAAATATACTTTTGAAAAATAAAATAACTATATATTATATAATCATATAAAAAATGTGTTCAATTAGAGTTTAAATTTACACATACAAAATTTGAAATTTGCTTTCCAAATGTAATTATCTTAGTTATTATTTGTATTGTGAAAATTATAATAACATAGATAAAATGCAATTAAGAATAAATCAATGTAATTATGTAAATTATCTCTATAAGTTTATTTGAATATGCACATAATTAGAGATTATATTAACCATATAAAATTATAATTTTAATTTTAATTGTAATTTTGTATTCTATAAAAATAATAAATACTTGACCAATGGAAGTTCAAAAATATTATTATATTAAATAATTTAAAATATTTTAGTTTTTCTATTTTTTATTTATATTTATAATAACATAATTTTTTTCCGTGCACCGCGCGGGTGAATTACTAGTAATAAATAATAATAATAATAATAATAATAATAATAATAATAATAATAATAATAATAATAATAATAATAATAATAATAATAATAATAATAATAATAAAATAAATAATGGTAATACGGGTTGTGGACTTTTGGGTTTATTTATTTAATAATAATAAATTTACAATAGTAATAATAAATAATAATTGAAATAATTAATAAATTTATTTAATAATAAATAGTAATAGTAATATACTCATACCCTTAAAGGTCATTTTACATACAATCAGCTAATAGAAAACAGCTAATTTACCAAACATTTTTTTATAATCAGCTAATACAATCAACTGGTCAAATCAACTAACACAATCAGCTATTAAATACCAGCTAATCCAATCAGCTATCAGTCATTTACCAAACACTCTCATAATATGCTTAAAAATACTAATACTTAACTTTATCTAATTGATTGGAACAGATACAAAAATGTGATGAAGTTAATCAAGGGACATTTCAATCAAACATACATCATGACATATTGTCTACAGTTCTTGATAAATCAGAAGATAAACGGGGTTCGGGTTCAGTAAGAGGAGTTGGTTCATACTCCACCATCCTACAAGTATTTGGTAGACCAGAGTAGAAACAGGGCACACTAAAGGGGTTGATGTCTATGATGAAGTCCAACAGATGATGGAAAAGGTTAGACAAAATACATTGTCGGAGGTGCAACCCCATATTAACATGCTCACCCAGCAATTGCATATATTGATGAATAACATGTCAGCTAACCACCAAGGTCCACAAGGAGTTTCGATTGGCACTCCTCAAAGTGCTTATGCTGGGTATGATCAACCTCCGACCCGAAGCAGCTGTCATTCGGTTGATGTATATCCACTAACCACAATTAAGGTAATATTAAAAATTATTTTATAATCAAAATATTATTTTCTTGTATTTAAACCTTATATATATATATATATATATATATATATATATATATATATATATATATATATATATATATATTAAAAAATAGAGCCCAAAATCGTGTAAACTTGCAATATGTGGTCTTGATGGTAAGCCATTAGTTGTTGCAAAGGGTAAGGTTTACCCAACTACAAATGAGACAATGTTAGTGCAAAATCAGCTACTTTTACCAAATCATGTCAAAGTGACGGTCGATGAAGTGAATGTGGTGCAGAGGGATGTAATCTCCCCGTGCCAACATTGCAGTATACCACTTTGGGAGATATACTTTGGAGTAACACACAATGTCCTACTCATTTAGTTATTTTAGATGAGGTATGCATTCTAGTTGTTAAACTTTTAGTTGTTTTATAAACACTTTTGTTCTATTCAAATGTTATCTTTTGCCTGTTATGATGATTGACATTATATTGCTTTCAATTATTGGTTGCTCTTAATTGGTAGGAAAATGTCAAAGTAAGTCCACAAAGAAAAAATAAGCAAATGAGGGATCAAAGTGCTGAGCAATCTGCTACTGCTACACCATCCCCAATTGTTGGTGATAATGTCTTTTTGCTTTTGGGGACATACTGCAAGCAGCTTGTCAGTAAGTTGTTATCATATCCTGTTGACAAAGACTGCATTGACTTGGACTTAGATTTATCACTCTTCCATCATGCAAACGTGAATGATGTTTATGTGATGATGGAGGATATACAGGATTTTTTGACAATGAATTGGCTCGATGTCTCGATTATACAAGTGTTTATGATGTAAGTTTTAAATTGTTCATGTGTTTTATATACATTTGTTTTTTAAGTTTATTGAAATTTCTTATTTGTACGTTATTTTTCAGGTTTTTGAATAAGCTGTGTAAGCAGCTTGGAGTGACATCTATTGGGTTTGCGTGTCCAACACAAATTTCAGCAGATATGGTTAACTTAAATTCTGTTGCGGTTACACAATATCTAATTCAGGCAATGTTGAAAAAATCGCTAGGTGCCCTCTAGGCGCTTGGGGACCGCCTAGGGCGCCTAGAGCGCCTAGCTGGGCGTCTAGGCCACCTAGCGCCTAGGCGCGATTTTTGCAACAGTGAATTCAGGTCATGGATAAACACAAGGATCAACAATTCATATTGGCACCATATCATCAAAAGTAAGTCTTTTACTTTACTAATTAATTTATATAATTTAATAACTTTATTGGAAGTATTTGATATCAGAATTTTAATATATATATATATATATATATATATATATATATATATATATATATATATATATATACATATATATATATATATATATATGGAGGCGGGTTCAGGTGCGGCAGTGTCTTACGGTGCGGTTATTTCTTACGGTGCGGCAACACCAATAGTTCACCAAATATGCACCATCAACGTTAGGAAATACACCACACAAAACAGAGTAAACAGAGCCCTGCATCACCAAACACACACCATTAGGTGTGAGTAAAAACACCATACACTGTTCGGAAATACACCATTGGGGGTGGTGAGTTATATGGTGTGTTTTTTTGAGTCAGTGGTGTATTTTGTGATGTTTTATTACATTTCATTGGGGTGTGTTTTTATTACACTGTTGGTGCATATTGTTAACACTGTTGGTGTATTCTGGAATTTGACCGTACCGCCGCACCGTAAGACCCCGCCGCATATGAGCGCTCTTCTATATATATATATATATATATATATATATATATATGTTTTGTAAATGTAGTAATCATTGGATACTCATCGTGATTAGTCCACCTTCTAAAACGGTGTACGTGTTTGATCCTTTGAAAAGTGTGGATCGCAACCTTGCTGTCAAAGTTTTTGTGAATATGTAAGTAAAAAAATCAATATATGTATTTTAAATGTTATTATGTTATATATAAATATATAAATTGATATGAATGTTTGTTATTAATATAGGGCATTTCGATCTGTTCCTGGATGAGGAATTAGAACGTTTGATTGGAAAGAATGCAGAGTATGAAGTTAAAGTTAAAGTTAAAGTTTTAATTGTTTTTATTTATTGTTTGATATGATATATATATATATATATATATATATATATATATATATATATATATATATATATATATATATATTGTAGTGTCCACAACAACCAGGAGGTTCTGAATGTGGATATTACATACTGCGATACATGTTTGAGATCGTTAATAAGCATTCAGAGCTTCATTGTCTAGAAGAGGTAAGTAAATTAAATACAACTAAATGTATATTTGAATTATAATACATTATTCTTCAAAAAAAAAAGAATTATAATACATTAATTAATATGTTTACTAATTTGATCGAATTAAATTTTTTGTAGATATTTGAACAGCCCACCTACTCCATAAATGAAATAGATGAAATCCGCGAGTTGTGGGCACAATACTTTGTAGATCGTTGCTTGTAACTTTAGTTGGTTTAAACATTATATATCTTTATTATTATTAATTAACTTATGTTTATGTTTTGTTAAAGAATTGTATAATTATATTGTGAAGTATATATAGTTATGTTTGTGTTCGTAGTTATTAGTGTTGGTTTGAATTTGTTGTTGAATAGATACGTTTAATTAGTTGTTAATGGTTTTGTAAATTTTTGTGTGAATTTTAAAAATTCTGTACAGGTTTAATTTTGAGCAAATAAAATCAGGGAATTATTGTATTTTTAGAAGAAATTAGGAAAAAAAAAAGGTGGATATCCGCGACACCCACGATATTAAATAACAAAATGACTTTCCGAGGCAGCTGCTTCCTAGCAGGTGCCTCGGAAAGTCCTAATAAAAAAAATTAAAAAGTCATGGTCAGCTTTCCGCGACACCCTTAACGGGTGTCGCGGAAAGCTAACCACTTTCAGCGTCACAGGAATCCGAGTTACCTGTGCAGGTGACTCGGAAAGTATTTTACAGGTGACTCGGATGCAGTGCAGTACGGACGACGTGGCGCCTCTCTGAGACACCAATAAATTTTGATTTCCCTATCCACTGGACAGTCGAACAATGGATCAGAAGAAATTGTTCCATCCATCAGAATATCGGCTGGCCTTCCCACTTTGTGTTCAATCTTTGGGCATTTTGGAAAAACAGAAATGCTTGGGTCTTTCAACAACAGCGGATCAGCCCCTTATCAACTGTCGAATGGTCTAAATCCCAGGTTAAAGAGCTGTTTGATCTTTCGAAGATAGGGGAAGTGGTCAAAGCATGGTCAGATTGGGTCCAATGGCTCCCGCCGACTCAAGGTTGACACAAGCTTAACACGGATGGAGCAGCCAAACGTAACTCGGGCATTGCATCCGCAGGCGGACTGGTGCGCGACAACTTGGGAGGCTTGGTTTGGGGTTTCACCACAAAAATTAGTAAAGCCGCAATAGCTTCGTGGCAGAACTGTGGGGCCTAAGGGGGGGTCTACGGCTCTGTCTCGAGAAGGGAATTCGTCGGGTCACGGTGGAGATGGACTCTAAAGCCATCATTGACCTCTTACATGGCGATATGGATATGGACGATAATGGGTGTACTTTGCTGCATGACTGTCTTGCCTTGGTGCCCAATTTTGAGGGGATCTCTTTCAACCATATTTTCAGGGAAGGTAATGCCTGCGCAGATTTCTTGGCTAACCTTGCGCAAGCTACAGATTGGGGTACTTGGGTGTTCACAGAGGCGATGGAAGGTCTCATCCCCCTCTTGGTTCGTGATGCGGGAGGGGCCAACTCTCGTAGAATCTCTTAACCTGAGGCGTAGCCTCTTTTTCCTCACCAAAAAAAAAATATAGTCATATACCAAACTTTTGATAAAGTTAAGTGCTGGTTTTTAGACTCTCGAATGGTCTATTAAGGATCCAACACATCGGTAATGGGTACCCGATATTTGAACCCGATTGGACCGCCTAACTCCAATTGAACCACTTTAACTGCTTCATAAATCCCAAAATAAATTATATGTTGACTAAAGCGTTATTTTCCCTTAAATCCCATCAAAGCCCCTTACCACAAATCAATTACCTAATTAGTATTATTATCCATAACCCCCAATATTATTACCTTATTTATTTACCTCATCCAGTCATCCTAACCCCCAAATTATTACTCCCTTATTACATTCCCAACTCATTTGACCATTAGTCCCTCATTTAACCCTCATAAAATCCCCTAAAACACCACTAACCCCCAATTAATTGCCATATTGATTATCCGTGAATACCCATCCCATCTACCTATACTGGCTATAAAAAGAAAGAGAAGACACAAGGAAAGGGGGGACACAAAATTATTCTTCCTTTTTTTACACTAAGAAGACTCTTCCAAGTATTCTTCTTCACATTCACTCTTCCTATCCAAGTATTCTTCTTCACATTCACTCTTTCTACACCACTAGAAGACTCCATCTTTGTATACAAAATAGCTACACCACCACAAACACAAATACATGTACAAATCCCTACAAAAATTGTGAAAGTCTTTAAGTTTGGCACCGCCCAAAAAGGCCCGTGATTTTCATCTTTCGATTTCCACGTAAAAATTATTGCGTCTATACTTTTTCTACTTATCTTTCTACATTCTTTTCCGGTGAATCCACCAACTACCGGTTGTGTTGGACTTCCGTGGGCTACCCAAAAGTCTTAAAACCAACAACCGGTTTTGATTGAATAAAATGGAAATAATAGAAAGAAACGGAAAAGAGACACAATGATTTTTACGTGAAAAACGAAAGAAAAAATCACGGGCCTTTTTGGGTGGACCCAAAACCTAGAAATTCCCTATATTGTAGGTGTTTTTGTACATGTATTTTTGTATCAGAATGAAGCTATTTCTTTCTCTAACAAATGCTGGACTTTCTCGTGAACCCCACTCCCCTTTGCTCCTTCACTCTTGTCTTCTTTTATAGTAGAAACTAGAAAGTAATAGGGGATGTCCATCGGTAGTTTAATAGGCAATTATTGATAGTTTGGGGGAATAATGGGCAGACGTTTTTTAGTTGGGAAATGGATGGTTAATAGGACTTTATTAGGATTTTGTGGGTAATTTTAACGGGGTACGGTTTATGGGTGATAAAGTGGTAGTGAATAGGTGGTTAGTGGGTGAATAATGGGTAATTTAATAGGGTAGTAAAGAGGTATTTATTTTAGATTTATGAAGGGATGCTAGGTGTTTGACAGGGTTTAAGTAGTTTGACCAAAGTTAGGTGGTTCGACTCGATTCTCATATTCGATATCTATCATTCAGCATTCTCTTATTATTATCTAACACACCAATGCTAGCTTACATTTTCCACTCAACTTACAAACTCTTAAATAATTTGTCAATATTTTCTTAAGTTTTGTCTTCAAACTTGAGATGGAAATTAATTATGACAAAAGAATTAAGGATACTACTATTTTATAATTTTAGGACAAAAAACTGCAAATTTTCCAAAATCGTGATAGACACCCTATATTACCGTAATTTATATCCTCTCAAATGTTCTATCGGGTCGAAGTGAAGCCCTACGAAAAAAAAAATGCAATCAATATGTTGTGGAACCGTGTTCACCTTGCAAGTGAACACGGTTCTATGTTCATAATTATAAAGCTATATATTCATAATTTTTTAACTTCACATTCATGATTATTGAACTCTATATTCAAAATTACAGAACTATATGTTCATAATTACTAAACTATATATTCATAATTATAAAGTTATGTATTCATAATTTTTAAACTTCATATTCACAATTACTGAATCTCTATATTAATAATTACAGAACTATATATTCATAATTATGTTCACAACTATATGTTCATAATTTTTAAACTATATATTTATAATTATAAACAGTTTTAGAACCGTATCCACCTTACACGGTTTCACAGCATAAATTGCCGAGAAAATGACATAAAAGAATCATTGTCCTTTTTCAATAACGTATAAAACGTGTGAACTCATATCAAACTTTTAATATTATAAAATGCTTACATTTTCAACTTATCTCAAATAATTTGTCAATAGTTTTCTCAAGTCCGCTTTCCGATCTTCAATGGCGACTCTTATCAGCCACCGTGAAGTGGCACCAGCCGGCAACGCCGCCGAGATGTCACTCCCCCTGACCTTCTTCGACATCCCATGGCTGTTCTACTTCCGGATGGTCCGACGCCTTCTCTTCTATAGACTTCCCATTTCCCGGGAATCATTCCTTGAAACCACAATCCCAAATCTAATGGCCTCCCTCTCCCTAACCCTGAAACACTTTCTTCCCCTGGCCGGAAACCTGGTTTCTCCGTCTGATTCTTCCACCCCGCCGGAGCTGCGCTACTTCCCCGGAGACTCTGTTCCCGTCGCCTTCGCCGAGTCCGCCGGCGACTTCGATTCCCTTGTAGCCAATCATCCCCGTGATGTGAACCACTTTTACCCTCTCGTGGCTAGATTACAAGCTCCTGAACCAGGTAAATTTTACCTTATTTACTTTTCTGCTTTTATTATTGTTTCTTCTTCTTCTTGTTAATCTCAACAAATTAATAATTGTTAATCTTAACAGCCGCCGGTGAACAGATAATTATCCCTGTGTTATCAATTCAAGTCACACTTTTTCCGGGCTTTGGCATATGTATTAGCACCACACATCACCACGTTGTCGGGGATGGAAACACGATGAACAGTTTCACTAAGGCCTGGGCGATGATTAACAAACTGGGCGGTGATGGAGAGTTCATAGCAGAGAAATCTGAATCTAAATCTGTCCCGTTTTATGACCGGACAATAGTGAAAGACCCATACGGGGCAAGGGACAAAATGTTCGGAGAAACCAAGAAAAAGTTGAAGGTTGAGCTATCCGAGGCCGAGGTTTCAACCCCTCGGATCGATAAGGTTCGGGCAACATATATCATGCGACGAACAGACATTGAGAAGATCAAGAATTTAGTCACAGCCAGACAAAGACCAAGAACAATTCATGTATCGGCTTTCACTGTAACATGCGGTTATGTGTGGAGTGGGATCTTGAAAGCCAAGGCGGCGATAGGGGAGCCCACGGCGGCGGAGGAGATTTTCGTCTGCTCAGCCGATTGTAGGACTCGCCTGAACCCACCACTTCCGGCTAGCTACTTTGGCAACTGTGTAGTGTCAGTCTGCGCGAAATCGAAAATTGAGGTGTTGGTCGGAGATGATGGGTTTTTAGCGGCGGCGGAGTTGATCGGAGAGGCAATTGAGAAAGGGGTGAAGAATGATGAAGAGTGGATTTTGAATGGGGAATTGTGGTTTTCGGAGTTTGAAGAAGCAGTTGAAGGGAAGGGAATGGGAGTTGCTGGGTATCCAAGAATAGACTTGTATGGTGCAGATTTTGGGTGGGGAAAGGCGGAGAAGATAGAGTATGTGTCCATTGATGGAGGTGATTCTATGTCCCTTTGCAAGTGTAGGGATTCTGAAGGTGATTTGGAGGTTGGGTTGGCCATGCCCAGAACAAGAATGGAAGCTTTTGCTTCCATCTTTGCTGATGGCCTTAGTAGCTTATAGAGGTTTCTTCACTTTCTTTTCTCCTTCACTCTCGGAATTGCTAATTTAGTTGCTTAATTAGAGATAGGCTCTTGTATGTGTACTGTAATAAAGGGGATTTTGACAAAATCTTATTGAATAAGAGTACAAATTTAGATATGGGGCATGATGATTCCGACCAATTTAGTTTGGCCGTATTGTTGTTCTTGTGTACAAAGATTCCAAGTGAGAGTAAGCTCTTAGACTAATCTCCATATGATAGGGGGTCCGAACTCCCAACCTCTTTTAAGGGAGGAGAGTATACGGCTACTCACGTCAATTAAGCTGGTTATTTTAGATTATTATTTTGTTATATAATGTTTGACTTAATACTCAAAATCGTCATCGACTATAGTGATTTTTCTTAATTTTGTCCTAAACGACTTTGGTGACCTAATATCGTCCCAGACTTTTGTGTTTCGCTCAATTTAGTCCCAGACTTTGTGTTTTTGCTCAATTTAGTCCTTCATTTGTTATTCTGTCCATTTGGTGTAAAATAAATAGACAATTCAGTAATTTTAATATTGGCATCTCTTTACTCATAGACATGTGAACTGCGAAATTCTTTTTTTTTTTTTATGAATTACTCCCAAAATTACTCCTAAAACTGCGAATATAAAATTTGATTTGCAGGTCCGGGAGTAATTCTGGGTGTAATTCGTACAAGAAAGAAGAATTTCGCACTTCACAAGTTGAAAGTAAAGAGAGATCAATATTGACATTACTGAATTGTCCCTTTATTTAACACCAATTTGACGGAATAACAAATGGAATATAATAACAAATGGAGGACTAAATTGAGTATCATTTTCAAAAATAGTTGTCTCTTAAAATTTTCAATTTGAGGTAATTATAATTACTTTAATGATGTTTTTAATTTAATTATTATCTTAAATAATTTTTAATGAAGATAACAGGGTAGGTTTTTGCTCATAGGTAAATTATAAAATTTCATTAAAAATCAACCTCAAGACTTTTTAATAAAGTCAAACCAATAAAGATATGCCAAAAACTAGTTTTGTTAGTGTGAGTGGCCGTACACTCTTATCCTTTAAGAAGGATTGAGAGTTCGAACTCCTTTTGTATAAAAAAACTAATATGACCAGCACTTTTGTCTCTTAATTGTGTTGTTCTGGTGTTAATCGAGGATTAGTCTGAGTATGATACGAGTTTAAATGTGTTTTCTATAGTTAGAGCTTGCTCAGGAGGGGAAAAAAATAAAAATATGCCAAAATGTTGAGATAAGGGAGTGGACCAACTTGATGGACAATGGAGGATATATTTTTGGCTAATGCGTGTGGTCCTGTTTTCTTGAGGAGATTGGTCTATGGGTGTTGTGCTAGACAGAGTTGTAATTATTGTATTATTATATTGGTGAGATGTAACTGGTGTTAGTTTAAGGATAAGGATTGTATCATGGTAGAGATTGGGCAAATTACAGTAGATCAGATCGAGTTTATTTGCATTGGAGATTATGGTCGAATTAGTGTATACAATATTTAATAACATTATAATGTATTAAGTTTATAATATTTGTTTTATATGTTCATAAATTTTAGTATACATAAACGCTAAATTAAATGTATATCATATGTATTTTAATTCACTTTAGTTATAGTATGTTTATAATGCATGTTCCTTCTATATGTTCATAAAAATAAAACTTAACGTCCATAAATATTACACTAAAGTTTTGATTTGGAGAGAGCATAACTATTACACTACATTATATATGTATTGATGTAGCTATGGAGAGTATGAAAAAGTTTTGTCGTTCTATAGCGATTCGGGGATATGGCACATAATATGTGGAGAACATACAACTAGACACTAATCTTAAAAAAATAAGCAAGAAGCTAATCAATTAATAACAAGTTTAAATATACGGTAACTAAACAAAATAACACAAACTTAAGCTAGGGAGAATTGTTTTCTAGATGCATCATGCATATAGGGATACGACAATTTCAATCCGCATCGCGGAGAATTGTTTTCATATTGAGACTTTGTGGTCGAGTGACATAGCTTGGCTCCTCAAATGAGACCAAACAAACAATAATATTGGTAATGCCAAAAGCTTTGTGGTTTGCCCCTCAAATTAGCTTTTTTTTTTAACAAATGTATATTAATTGTTAGTATATAAAATAGGGGAATTCTATTTGCACCACCCTAATTACTATTTACACCACCTATTTAATAGGTATGATAACTTTTAGGTGGTGTAAATAGAAAATTGTTATTTGCACCACCTTCATTAATTTTAGTCAAACATTATTTTTTTAACAAATATTTATTATAAATGACACTTTTTCCCCTTAGGTATATGCTTTTAACACTTTTTCCCTCTTAGTTATTCATGAATCCACATTTGCCTCCTAGTTATATTAAAAGTGGCATGTTTCCTTCTTTTTATGTTTGATAGACATTTTTACCATTAAAACTAAATATTTCATTTATTTTTTCTTCTCCAACAAATCATTGTTTATATGTACGGATGGTCACGGTTTAGTTCAAACAATTTTTTTTTTATTTTTTTATTGCCAGTTCAAAATTTATTTATTTATTATAAATTTTATTTCTTTTTTTTTTTAAATAATTTAATAATTATTTTATTGTATTTTATTTTTTCGATTCTGAATCGTAAGCAAAGCCAATGGGGGTTTGTTTTAATTTGCAATCACACGTGTTATATATTATTCTTCCGAACTTCATAAAAAGGGGGAAAAAGTATGGATTTCTTAGGCGTTCACAGTCATATTGAAGTTGACAATCCATTACGTTCCAATGGCATTTTGGAGTGTGATTTTATATCTAAGATTATAGGGAAAATGGCACTTTTTCCCCCTGAGTTATATACCTATAGCATTTTTGCCCCCTAAATTATTGAAGTGGCTGTTTTCCCCCCTGAAATATTAAATGGACATATTTACCCTTCAACTAAATATTTAATTTATTTTTTTTTCTCCAACAAATTATGACCATAATTTGGTTCAAACCAAACAAACACTATAGCAACCAAACCGAAATATTCCAATTACAATTTAGAATCGAAATCCGATATTTAGAGTTTATTAAAATCGTGAACCAGAACGGACGGTTCATGTTCCGAACTGAAAAAATAAAATACATATATTGTTGAATTTATACTATTTTAAAATAAAAAAATAAAATTTTAAAATAAAGGCGGTTCAAAATCGTGAATCGGATCCAGAACCGCCGGTTCACGGTTCAAGATTCAATTTTTTGATACATAATTTTAATAAATTGACATTTAAATATTGGATTCTAGATCTGAATTATAACCGAAAACTATTAATTCGATTGCTATAGTATCCGGTTCAATTCAAACCGAACCGTGGTCATCCCTACGTATACGCAATAATTTGTTGGAGAAGTAAAATAAATAAAATATTTACTTTAAGGGTATAAATGTCAATTAAATATATCAGGGGGGAAAAAGCACCACTTTTAGAATAACTGAGGGGGCTAATGTGCTTACCTAAATAATTGAGGGGGAAAAAGTGCTATAAGTATATAACTCAGGGGTAAAAAGTGTCATTTTCCCAAGATTATATTTGATTTCTCTCTTTTTGAGGAATGCACACCTTCATTAGAGGACATATATACTAGTAATCTACAATTACTTTGATTTAACAGCAATTGGTTTTTATATGATTATTATATATAATATGATTAAGTCAACTATCATGTAATATGATGACATTTCAATTACCATTTCAAATAAATGGTCATAGGTCCGAACCTTGGGAGTGGAGCTTAGATTCTTAGGGTTAAAAATTTTAAAGAAAATATAGAACAAATATAACTAATTGTGAAGGCACAACACAACTTTATTTTCTTATACTTACGATTCAGAACCGAAAAAATGAAATAAAATAAAATAATTATTGAATTTATATTATTTTAAAAATAAGAAATAGAATTTATAATAAATAAATAAATTTTGAATTGGAAATAAAATAAAAAATTGTTCGAAGCGAACCATAATCATCCGTACATATAAACAATAATTTGTTGGAGAAGAAAAAATAAATGAAATATTTAGTTTTAAGGGTAAAAATGTTCACCTAACATAAAATGGAGAAAACTTGCCACTTTTATTATAATTGAGGGAGCAAATGTGAATAAACAAATAACTGAGAGGAAAAAAGTGTTATAATCATATAACTCAGAGGGAAAAAGTGTACAATTTTCCCTTAACCGGAAACTTTTAATTCGATTGTTATAGTGTCCGGTTCAGTTAGAACTGAACCGTGGTCATCCATACGGATACGCAATAATTTGTTAGAGAAGAAAAATAAATAAAATGTTTACTTTAAGGGTAGAAATGTCAATTTAATATATCAGGGGGGAGAAATCGTCACTTTTAGAATAATTGAGGGGGCTAATATGCTAACATGAATAATTCGGGGATAAAAAGTACTATAAGTATATAACTTAAGGGGAAAAAGTATAATTTTCTCTTAATTAAATTTTAAATTAAAAAATTATTAATTACACCTCATAAATGAGGTTTGACCAAGGTGGTGCAAATAGCAAAATGAACTCCCATTTGACTATTTACACCACCTATGTAATTATTAAAAGTTTTCACCTTTTTATAATTTCAAGATACTTTATACCTACTTTTGACCAAAGGGTGATGCAAATAGCAACACCCATAAAATAATGTATTTTTATTTATAGTTATAGCCCATTGTGCTCCACGTAATAATGCTCCACTTTCCAATGACCAATGCCATAGATTTTCCAACCGACCAATGCCATAAATTCAGAATTTCAAAGTTTTAAATTCAGCTCAGTTTCTCTCGGGTTTCAATTTTCTGGGTTGATTCTGATTTCTGGATACCATTTTATCAAGCACCCTTGGGCGTTGAGAAAAGTGGACTATCCAGATCCCAAAGCTGTTAGATTCCATGCGGAGCAGCATCTCATTCCCATTCCATTTATGTTGTTTTCCTGATGACTCTATTGTAAATAGACGCCGAGAGTGATCGGAACTGGGACATTTGGGTGCGGGAGCACAATAGTGGAAGGAGAAGATTTTATTGCTGAGAATATTACTTTTCAGAACTCTGCTCCTCAGGTAAAAAAAACTTCTTCTATTCGGTAAATCGCAAAGATCTCAGGTTAAACTTTTGCATCATTGAAATAGTCAATCAACGTGTATATCTAAGCTTTGTTGGATCGATTCAGTAAGGAGGATAACCATTAGAAGATGACATTTGGAAAAGTTAAAGAAGGGTATACATTAAGTAATGACCAATAGTTACAAGATTTAGGGGGGTTTTGGTAACATAATTGGGCAATTTTGGCTTATTTGATCACTGTTAGCCGTTTAACGTAGTTAAACAATCAATATGAAAGTGTTTGACTAATTAATTTTTTTAACAGTTTATTGCTCCAAAATATTAAAATTCAAAAAATTGTTCAAAAGTAATTTTTTTCAATCAGTTTTTTGATAAAGTTATTTTGCAGGTAATCAGTAATCAGCTAACATCTAATTTATCAAATACTTTTCTACAATCAGCTAATGTTACTAACTAGTCAAACTCACCAACCCATTCAGCTAACAACTATTTACCAAACACCCCCTTAAATATAATCAATCCAATTAATTATAATAAGTTTAATAATACAATAAGTAATATATAAGACATTTGAACTCATCAAACCTTTATTTTAATGAAGAGTTAATCAACGATTTGGTCCCTCAATTATTGCCAAACTGTGAATGTAGTCCTTTAATTCCTTAATCATCAATTTAGTCCCCGAAAATAATTGTTTTTAGTCGACTTAGTCCCTCCGATCGTCTTCCGTCAACAAACCGGCGAGAACTCCGATTTAGTAGGGGCATTTTGGTCTTTTCTTGTCTTCAACCCTCTTCTTGGTCTGATCAGATCGCCGGAATCATGGAGAGCGAAAACCGATGGTGTTTCTTCGCCGGAAACTCTAAGAATTACTTACGGTGTAAAGATCCAACTAAGAATTAAGAGCGGAAGGATTTACCGGAAAATCAAGCAACAGAGGATTGTCGAGAAGGGAAAGATGAAGATGAAGATGAAGATGAAGAGGAAGATGAAGTATTAAGTTCAAGATCATTCTCAATTCCCTTCTTGAGAAGTGGCGCTCACCAGTGTGACCCTATCAGGCGAAATGCCGGCCTTCTGCATTTCCCTGAACGAATCCAAAGCCTGATTGGCCATCCCGAGCCTGGAATACCCACTGATCATCGCGCTCCAAGCGACCACATTTCTCTCAGTAATTTCATCGAACACCTTCTCGCTCAGCTCAATCTCCTCACACTTGGCGTAGAAATTCAGCAATGAGGTCTGAACGAAGGGGCTGGATCCATGCCCAGACTGTACAACATGCTTGTTGAAAGTGTTTGATCTTGGGTAATTTTTCCTGAGCAGTCTCTTGAAAATGAAAATGGGTTCAGGGGATGATGTTTGAGACTCCAAGAACCCTCTGATGAGGGAATTATAAGAGTAAATTCCTGGGTTTGGGATTCGGGAGACGAGCTGCTTCGCATAGCCCAGGCTGCCGCGCGACGAAAGAGCGGCGAACGTGAGGATCTTGGCGAGAAGAAAGGAGAGGGAAGAGGTAGAGAGAAGCGGGCAAGTGAGGACATGGCCATGGATTTGGTGGAGAACTCTCAGATTCGGACATCTTTGAATCAGTGTAGCAAGTCTTCTTTCTCCTTCTTCTTCCAGCTTTACTTCTCTCTGGTTTCCTCTTCAGGTTTTGCAGGCTAACACTCTTTCGCCTTTTCTAGCCTGATAGCTAGCACTGTCAAGTCCTCGGATTTCCATTCAACCCCATTTTCTTCTCCACCGCAACCATCTATCATGACAGGTTCGCCAAGAAGAGGGTTGAAGACAAGAAAAGACCAAAATGCCCCCGCTAAATCGGAGTTCTCGCCGGTTTGTTGACGGAAGACGACCGGAGGGACTAAATCGACTAAAAACAATTATTTTCGGGGACTAAATCGATGAATAAAAAATTAAAGGACTACATTCACAGTTTGACAATAATGGAGGGACCAAATCGTTGATTAACTCTTTTAATGAACAACTTGTGAATTAATTAATTTAACTAACTTGCATTGATTGATATAAAATACATTGCCTAATGGATAAGCATAAGCCTATGCTTTCCGTTACCGCAAATTATGCAGTGGACTCGTGTCTTCAATGCATCATGGACACGAGTTCAAAACGACATCGTTTTCAGGGAAAATGCGTCATTTCAGTTAAAAAAAATTAATTTTGTCTCGTCGTTAATGCCATTAACGACGTTATTCGTTTGTGTCATTGTGAATGTACAGTTATGGGATTATGAATGTACAGTTATGGAATTATGAATGTAAGTTATAAAATTATGAACACAGAGCTCTGACATTATGAACTTACAATTATGAACATAGAGTTCTAAAATTGTGAACATCGAACTTTGAAAATTATGATTTTACAGTTATTGCATTATGAATGTACACTTACGGAATTATGAATGTACAGTTATGCAATTATGAATGTACAGTTATGAAATTATGAATGTACAGTTATGAAATTATGAACACAGAGCTCTGACATTATGAACTTACAATATGAACATATAGTGGTAAAATTATGAACATAGAGCTTCGAAAATTATGAAGTTACAGTTATTGAATTATGAATGTATAGTTACGGAATTATGAATGTACAGTTATAGAAGTATGAATGTACAGTTATGAAATTATGAACATAGAGCTCTGACATTATAAACTTACCATTATGAACATATAATAATAAAATTATAAACATATACTCCTACGAAGCAGTCTGAAATTAACAAAAAAAAAAAAAAAAAAAAAAAGAAAAAAAAAAAAAGAAGAAGAAGATAAGATAACACGGCACTCTTAGCCGTGTCCAGCATGTCCATAGCATAACAATTGTTCCGTTACCATTTGAGTCAGCAACTCTTAACAATTTTGACAATAGTTATCTGGTATCCACTTTCCAATCTTCTTCAATGGCAACTGTGATCAGCCGTGTTCAAGTGGCACCGGCAGGTAACGCCACCGAGATGTCACTCCCCCTAACCTTTTTTGACATGCCATGGCTGTTTATCTACCGGATCATGCGACGCGTGCTGTTCTACAGGCTTCCCATTTCCAGGGATACTTTCATTGAGACCATATGCCCAAAACTAGTAAGCTCCCTCTCCCTAACCCTCACACACTTTCTTCCCCTGGCCGGCAACTTGGTTTCTCCTTCAGATTCTTGCATCAAGCCTGAGCTACGTTACATGCCTGGGGACTCTGTTTCTATCACCTTCGCAGAGTCTGGTGATGACTTCAATTCACTTGTAGGTAACCATCCGCGTGATGTGAATGACTTTTACCCTTTTGTACCAAGATTAACAGAAGAAAAACATATAGGGGGTGCACAGATAGTAGTCCCCGTCTTAGCTGTTCAAGTGACACTTTTTCCAGGCTTTGGCCTATGTATTGGCACTACTCATCACCATGTTGCTGGGGATGGAAACACGATGATGAGCTTTGCTATGGCGTGGGCTATGGTCAGCAAACTAGGTGGAGATTTAGAATTCATAGCAGAGAAATCTGCCCAATTTTATGACCGGTCAATAGTCAACGATCCCTATGGGGTAGGGGATCTAATGTTTGAAGAAATGAAGAAAGAGGCTAAGGTTGAACTATCTGAAGCTGAAATTTCACCCCCTCGAATCAATAAGGTTCGGGCTACGTTTATCATGCGGTGGAGAGACATTGAAAAGCTCAAAAATTTAGTTGCAGCCAGACAAAGAGCAAGAGAAGTTCATATATCAGCCTTCACCGTAACATGTGCTTATGTATGGACTAGCTTGGTGAAAGCAAGCGTGGCGATAGGGGAGCAATCGGAAGATAACAAAATTGAATATTTCAGTTATGTAGCCGATTGTAGGAGTCGCTTGAACCCACCACTTCCAGATAGTTTCTTTGGAAATTGTTTAGTACGCTACTTTGTGAAATCAAAGCTTGGAATATTAGTTGGAAGTGAAGGTTTTTTAACTGCTGCTGAATTGATCGGAGAAACAATTCAGAAAAGAGTAAATGATCAAGAGTGGATTTTGAATGGGGAAGTTTGGTTATCAGAGCTTAAAAAATCAGACCCACAGAGGGGAGTTGCAGTTGCTGGATATCCAAGGCTAGATATATATGCTGCAGATTTCGGGTGGGGAAAGCCGGAGAAGGTGGAATTTGTTACTATAGATGGTGGTAATGTTATGTCTATTTGCAAGGGCAGGGATTCTGAAGGTGATATTGAGATTGGCTTGGCAATGCCCAGAACTAAAATGGATGCTTTTTCTACCATCTTTGCTGATGGTCTTAGAAACCTCTAGGGGTTTTTGGAGTTCCTTTTCTCCCCAGTGTTGTAGATAAAAAAAATCTTTGTTTCCTATTACAATTTACAAATACTGGTAATTTAGACGCTCAGAATTGTTTTCTCTTTTTGAAATTATATGAATTGTTCTAGCATTGACCTCAAGAAATTGAGTGATGTGCATTGTTAGAATGTTGTCTCAATGTTAAAAGGAAAAAGCAAAATGTGTTTAGGGGGTGGGTGTGGATATGAACCTAACACTTGAGTCCTTAAGTTCTGTTTAGCATTCAGATACATAGTAGATAGATATCACTTGGAAAGCCACCTACCAAAATAATTGTGATTGTTTTATATTTGTTGTCAATTTACTGAAACCTTCTCCCCTTGTCTGGATATGGTTAGACTGAATTAATGAACTTTGGCTGAGTTATGAATTTTCTCTCCCGACAATGATATTATAAATATATTGATCTGCTTCTAGTACGTTTAGCTGTATTGTTGACTTCTTCCTCACCCTGAGGTCCCAACTGGGGTAATTGCTCATTAAAATGTTTTAAAATATTAAATTTAAAAGCAAATATTTGGAATATCACCATCTTGATGAATTGGGTATTTTTTCTTTCTGCTCACAGTATATGTAGTGCCATCATTATTGTGTGGACCATGGTCCATACAAGTTGTGTGGACCATATTTCTTATACTATAAAATAATGTACATTCACTACAAAAATAATGTACATTTAGTATATTAAAAATGTACTTTTTTGTTGTGGTCTACCTAAACAATAATTTGCCATATGCAGTGTGTTAAGACTCTAAGGGTAATGTCATATATTGTATTATCTCTACTTGAGATATAAAGAATATATTCTGCCCATTTTCCCCCCTTTTTATTTATTCATTATAAAGATTATGATTTATTCTTCCAAGGCTGAACCCCAACCTTAAGGGCCCGACAGAGCGGTGGGAGGTTGTAAATCATGGTGACTCAACTGAACATGGCCCGACAGAGCGGTGGGAGGTTGTAAATCATGGTGACTCAACTGAACATTAATCACAAGGAGCCCCCCTCACTTTGAGAGGTTGCTCCCACACTGCCGCTGGTGAGACTCTGGTGAGACTTGATCCCTGGTCATTCTTCCAAAGTTTCACCTCTATGACCAGTTGAGCTACCCATGCGGGCAAAGATTATGATTTATAGTATTACAAGAGCAAACAATTAATTTAATGTGGCCTAAGAAATTTTATGCATGCATGCTGGACTGTTATCTCTTTTTTTTTTTTTTTTTTTTTTTTTTCATTTCAGATTCGTTATAGGAGTATATGTTCATAATTTTATTACTATTGGTTCATAATTGTAAGTTCATAATGTCATACCTCTATGTTCATAATTCAATAATTGTACATTCATACTTCCATAATTGTACATTCATAATTCCGTAACTGTACATTCATAATTCAATAACTGTAACTTCATAATTTTCGAAACTCTATGTTCACAATTTTAGAGCTCTATGTTCATAATTTTATCACTATATGTTCATATTGTAAGTTCATAATGTCAGAGCTCTGTGTTCATAATTACATAACTGTACATTCATAATTGCATAACTGTACATTCATAATTGCATAACTGTACATTCATAATTTCGTAACTGTACATTCATAATTCAATAACTGTAAAATCATAATTTTCGAAGCTCCATGTTCACAATTTTAGAGCTCTATGTTCATAATTTTATCACTATATGTTCATAATTGTAAGTTAATAATGTCAGAATTCTGTATTTATAATTTTATAACTTACATTCATAATCTCATAACTTTACATTCATAATGGCACAAATGAATAACGCCGTTAACGGCGAGACAAAATCAAAAAAAAAAAAAAAATTTAACTGGAATGACGCGTTTTTCTTAAAAACGACGTCGTTTTGGACTCGTGTCCACAATACATTGTGAACACGGGTCCAGGGCATAATTTGTGCTCAAAGGCCCGCAAATTATGCTGTGCAACCGAATGCACCTTGCAAGGTGCATACGGTTGCAAAACGGCGCCGTTTTGGTTAAAAAAACGCACCCCACTTAAAAAAGAAATCAGGTTCGATTTCCGGCAATAGCATTTTTATATATCCAGAAATTCATAACTATATATCCAGAAATTCATAACTATATATCCACAAATTCATAACTATATATCCACAGTGAATGAATGAAGTAAAAATTCACAATGAATGAATGAATGAAGTAAAAATCCACAATGAATGAACTAAATATCCACAATGATTGAACTAAATATCCACAATGAATGAACTAAATATCCATAAATTCATAACTATATATCCAGAAATTCATAAATATATATCCACAGTGAATGAATAAAGTAAATATCTACAATGAATGAACTAAATATCCACAATGAATGAACTAAATATCCATAAATTCATAACTATATATCCACAAATTTATAACTATATATCCAGAAATTCATAACTATATATCCACAATAATGTTATTGCCGAGAATCGAACCTGATTTTTTTTTTTTAAAGTGGGACACGTGTTTTTAGTCAAAACGACGTCGTTTTGCATCGTATGCACCATGCGCATGGTACATTCGGTTGCACAGCATAACTATTGTCAAAGGCCTTGGTTGGCTCCGAGAATGGCTTTGCGCATACCATATTCAGCCTAAATCCATGCATTATCCGTAAGCATCTTCAACTCATAATGCCCTTATCTATTATAGATTAACTCTTGTTCTGCAAATTATTTTATGGACCTGGGTCAAGGTGGACTTGGGTCTAAATATTCATAATTTACATACTAAATGTTTATAATTTGCGTTTTAAAAATTCATAATTTGTATACTATGAACACACAATGTTAACATATATGTAATTGATTATCTTGTTTTGTATTTACAAGTTCCTTTCAAATATTACAGTCACCAAATATTAACAGATTAAGATTTGATGACCCTGTATTGTATTCACAAATTCTCTTCTACAGTTATGTGTTTTGACTTAAAAACATAATTTATAATCTAGAAATTCATAATTTCAATACTAAAAATATACAATTTATACGTCGGTTAGGACCAGGGTCCCTGGTCCATGGTATAACAACTCCTCTTGTTCCTACTATTTATGACTCTTGTTGTGTATATGTATGTTTGGTAGTAGCCCTGCATGATGATTGTAAGATATGATGATAGATCAAATATTATCATGTGATTTGTGAAGATCCAAGTCGTTGATTTTAGATTAAACTTAAAAGAGATTATTCGTCCATTTGGGTGTGTTGGTGTCAAACGTGTGTTAAAAGCCTGTAATTTAGCATCAAATTTTCTTACATTAGTGTAATTTTGACCAATTTTTTATTTATTTTTTTTTAATAATTTCGTTTTTAACAAATCTGACCTAAATTGGATTAATTTACAATTTCATAAAAACAAATTATTTAGATTATACAAGATTATTTATTTATTTATTGGGAACTATTTTCATAGGACTCAGATTTGTTTCATGTATGTTGATCATTTATGTTTTTAATGGATACTATTTTCATAAAACAATTGATTTATTTCATCTACCCGTGAAAAATTGCCTATTTTCGACTATTTTTTTTTTCAACCATCGTTGGTGGTGGTCGAAAAGTGGTTGGAATTTTTGACTATGTTTTTTTATAGGTGGTTGTTAATTTTTATCATGGTAAAAAATTTATTTTTCAACAACTTTTTTGGGTGGTTAAGAAAGGCTAAAATTTAAGAAAGAGAAGGAAAAATTATTTTTCGTTTACATGATTTTTCTTTTTCTGACTACATTTAGGTGGTTTAAAAAATGTAGTACAAATTTTTTTATGCAATTCTAACCAATCCTTTTTTTTTTCAGCCAAGAATGGCGTTTGTACTCTCAAGTCACAATCATATATAATCCATCTTACCAAACCAGGCATATATGTAATGGAGATATAATTAATCTAAAATTACTGATCTTTGCTCTTTATGTCATCTACGATGTAACAAATTTGGGAGGTAAATTGTAGGATATATCTCAACTTACTCATAGGTCCTAAAATGCCTGTACATTACTGTCTAACACTCTAACCTTGTACTCTATTGCTACCAGCAAAGAAAAGTCTCTTAATTTCTTCTCCCGAAAAGATTGAATTTTAAACCTCAAGGGCCTGACAGAGCATTAGTTCGAACCTTGGTCTCTTCTTCCAAATGCTATCTACTAAACCAATGAGCTAAGCCCCAGTGTTGCTATAGGGGTTTTTGGAGTTCCTTTTCTCCCCAGTGTTGTAGATAAAAAAAAATCTTTGTTTCCTTTTACAATTTACAAATACTGCTAATTTAGACGCTCAGAATTGTTTTCTCTTTTTGAAATGATATGAATTGTTCTAGCATTGACCTCAAGAAATTGAGTGATGTGCATTGTTAGAATGTTGTCTCAATGTTAAAAGGAAAAAGCAAAATGTGTTTAGGGGGGTGGGTGTGGATAAACCTGGCAATTATGGACACGACCCGTTAACACGACACGAAACCGGACACAAAAATAACGGGTTAGTGTTTAGCGTTAACGTGTCCCGGGTCCTTAACGGGTTGACCCGTTAAGGATCCGTTATATTTCGTGTCTTAACGGGTCAACCCGTTAAACATATTAAGAACCCGTTTAACCCGTTAATATTATCGTGTTAACCCGTTAACACGAACCCGTTTACTAAACATGTTTGTAACCCGCTAAGAACCATTGTCATTTAGGTAAGAACCATGGTCATGAATGAGATTAGAAAAGATATTATGAACATGACTAAGGATGAATTTACTACATTAGGCCAAGATCCTACACCATTCAACAATTAGAAATTTGAATTTGTGTTGTGTTCAATTTGATTCTAAAAACTAGTATGGACTGTTAGGATCGATGCGGTTCACAACACTAAAATACCAGCGGCAATTCGGACCGGGAATAATGAGAATATTTCTAGTGTAAGATTTAAAATAAATCATACACAAAATAAAGGCAATTTGAAGAAGGATTTTCTGTATTGGCAAAAGGATATTACAAATAGGAATTACAAATATAACTCTCTATTCTACTCTCTATATTTTGCTATGCTAATGGGAGAATTCATGATGGAATGGGATGAGATTGGAAGAAGAGGAGTTGCCTATTTATAGCAAACCCTCTCCTGCAACTTCATCTTGCTCTTTCTCCTGAAATGAGCATCTTGCTCTTTCTCCTGCTCTTCCGAATTGAGCATCTTGCTCTTCAGAACAAGTGTTCTTGCTCTTCAGGCCAAGTGTTTGCTCCTGCTCCTAACCTCATCAGGCAAAAGGTTCTGCCCATTTCCACATTTGACTTTAGTATTTACATGGACTCCTTTAATTATGATTTTTCGATGTTATTTTATCATTTTATGAATGTTAT